TTGAAGAAGCACGTTGGGGGGGGGGAGGCAAACATCGATGAAACACCACGGAGGTTGCGCGGTAGGATGAAATCAATGTATTGCTTGTAGACTGGCGTCGCTATCTTCCGGAGCAATAATTGCACGCATCATCCAACACTTTGCCATCGATTCTAAACGCATCTTCAAAGCGGAGAATACCATGCCGGGAAGATTTCCTCATTTTCCGGGTGAGAGATGAACTCCGTGAAACTGGAAGACAAGAACTCAAAACTCGGCTCCAGCACGGGTTTCTTACTCTGAACAGGGAGGTCAGTTGGCCTAGAACTGTGCTGAGGATGGTCTGAAGGTCTTCCTCGGACAGAGACATCATGAAGTCGAATTGTCCCATCCTAGTCATTAAATATGTTACATCTTCACCGGGCCAAGTCTGGATATGCTTATTGCGGCGGCCGAACCGTGTAAAACAAATTCACACAAAGACAGACGATACAAATGACAAAATGTTGAGTTTAAATACGCCATAACTGGTGCGTAACAGACGGCGATGCCATAGGCACAAACGTCCAGAGCGCATTATTTGATCAGATTACGCGGCGATGTGTGATCGGTTAATTCATTAAGCACAAAGTAGTCGATCATCCATGATCGCGAATAACAATACTGAAATCTGAAAATGCACAAAAACGGTTTATACGCAACGCAAACCACTATATAGGTCAATCAGGTGACTGACCAGTACCGACGTTTGGGCGTCTTTAACGAACCTGTTTTAGGGCAGAGTTAGGTGCGTGGCCCGCAGAGCTTGTGGCGTCTGGAGCCAAAGGTGTGCGTCTAATCGATGCTGCTAGATCAGTAATTTTACGGACAGCAGAAGAATTAAAGCCTTAATTATCTAATCCTGTGAAAATGACAACCCGGACAAAGGACAAACCTTATCAAGTCCGTGATCAAAAACTACTTAAGCAACATGGATCAAGCGCACGCCTTTTGCCTCAGATGCCACAACAGCTGCATACCACAAAACTAAGTGTGAGAGCCAACCCGAACCATCTGCCGAAACATCGGTACTGGTCAATCACCTTATTGATTATTCGATTGCTGTGCATATATAAATAAACCATTTTTACGTATTTTTCACTGGTCTATCAAGTCAAAAACCCAGCACTAACTTATGCAGGTCGGCTTATCTTAGAATCGCTTAGGCTTAAACTATATTAACAGCAACATTAAGTTAAGTGGAAGGAGATGAAAATGTGCAAGGCTATCGACGATGATTATGGATACTTTGTTTAAATCTCAGAGAACAACGAAATCATTCAGTAAACAGGAACAAGGAAAAGTCAGAATCAGTCAGTCAAAGTATGTGGTCGAAAAGGAGACTCTGCGAAATGCTTCCGGGTATTATTTTATTCGCAACGTGATATTCACAATA